GGGGGGGGGGGTACTTCCAGAAAAGTTGGGTGGGGGTGTGTGGCCCACTTCCCAAAACCCTTACCCTATTTATGACCAAAATCTGCGGTTTTTGCTACCCTATTGATGGCCTGTCCAAAAATTCGATAGCCTATTTATGATCGTTGCAGCTGACACAGTTACCCCAAGCATAAATTATGAAGGGCTTTTGTTGACGGTTTTATCGATGAAGATGAAAAGGTAGCTTCTCCTGAGAAACATACCCAATTCAAGACTAGAGTGCTAAAACCATACTCTATTTATAACCAAACTGGCCAAAATCGATACCCTATTTATGACCAAAACGGCTGAAAAACCCTACCCTTGGAGCCGCACATACCTATATAGCCCATATAAGGGAGTACCCCCCGGGACCCTGTTGCGACGTGTTGCAACATGTTAGGTGTTGTTGGCTTAAATTTGAAAATGGTCAAATTTTTCATGCAACATTTGTGGATGTTGCATGATGTTGTAGTCGTTTGGCCAGGTTCGTGCGACAATGTTGCCCCAGGGCATGCGCACTAGTTCGATTTTCAATACTCAACATGTCGCAACAGGGTGGCCAAACGCGTGTAACATGTTGCGCCCAACAGTGTTGCGATATGTTGCGTTCAAATGCTGTGATCGTTTGGCTGGAGCTTACAAATGCTGGGCCAACAATGTTTGGATATGTTATGCTAAAATGTTGCGATCGTTTGGCCGGGGCTTAAGCGACCACCTAGGCTTGACATTTTAGCTACATTTTGGGTGTCGCTTACGGGAAGTTCGACTGTACTCCAAAAATATGGCACACGAACCACTAGTAAGAAAATAAGAAGAAGAATTTCAATAGCTATTTTTACTAAATATAATGGCGTACTATGCTAAAAAAGCCTCGACCGTGCTCTGTTCTGTAGTAAACAGTTGGTGAAACTACCGACAAGACGCGAAACCATCTCCAGCTACCAATAACATTTTTAACATGCACGTTATTTCACTGGCGATCAACCACTTGTTTAGAAACAGTCTTGATGCTAGCATGGTGCAATAAGTGGAACAAACGAAATGAAAGCGCTACCAAGCGTTGACGCGGCGATACGATGATACGATGGGGTGATTGCGGTTAAAACTGAAATAATGAACAAAACAAACTTAAACAAAGCGAAAACGGCACAAACTAAAAACCGTGATACTAATACAGAGACTTACATTTGCAACGCTGGGACGCTTACAAACTTGCGGCCGAGATACGGCGACAAACTACACTGGGTACTTGGATAAAGCAAGCTGCGATCTAATGATGATGATGATTTGCCCCCTAGCTACAGCTCAGTGGAACATAGGCCATTGACTAGTTCAGTTCTCCATCGGCTTCTGTTCTGGGCGAGCCTTCCTAGCAAGTTCCAGGTGCGGCCCCACTTCCTCATTTAAGACTCTATACCCCTTCTCCAGGAGTTCCTTGGGAGACCCCTCTTCCTCTTACCCGGTGGGTTCCAACATAGCGCCTGCCGGGTGATGTTGTTAGCCGGTTTTTCTTAAGGTGTGACCTATCCACCTCCACTTTCTCCTTAATATCTGAATCTCGATTGGTTCCTCGCCTGCTCTTTCCCACAGCATCTCGTTCGTTGCCCTGTCTGTCCAACTGATTTTTAAAATTCGTCTAGGGCACTTGTTGACGAAGGACTGTACTTTCTGGGTCATTCACTTAGTTGATTTCCAAGTTTCTGAACCATAGAGGAGGATTGCTTTCACATTGGTGTTAAAAATTCTAAATTTGGTTCACCGTGATCGAGATGGCTTTGGAGGACCACACCTTCCTCAACATGTTGAAAGCTACTCTGGCTTTGTTTATCCTAACCTTAATTTCTTCATCGGAACCCCCGTCAATGCTGACTTTACTGCCTAGGTAGACAAAAGATATTACCTCCTCCAAGATGGTACTCCTCATTGTGACTGGTCTGTTGTTTGTACGGTTGACTTTCATAACCTTGGTCTTGCTCACATTAGGACGCAAGCCTAGCTTGATGGAATTAGTTGTTAACTGTGCTGTTTTGAGTAGTAATACACGCTCATATGAGCGGTAACCAATTAGGAGCCGAGAAAGACAATAGGCTATTGTTTGGAAAACAATGGATGCTATTGTTATCCAAGATACAAGATGGCGCTATTTATTTTCAGCCAATCAGGAGCCGAATTAAGAATTCAAGATGGCGGCGGCCACGAAAGTCGGCCATGTTGGAAAACAGCCCACCAGCCTCGACGGAGGACTGAGATCGATCTCATCTACGGCGACTCAAATCACGCCAGGGTCACGCAAAAAATGTCATGCAACTTCAAAATCGATACTTACAGTGTCCTGTGGTC